CACAGGCTAATGAAATGTTGAGTTTTGTGATATTATGAACAGCCATAATGGGAAGGAAACTTTGGCCAGGGTGAGAAGCCATGTGAAAATACTTGTGATTTAATTGACTGTGAATTCTACAAAATCATTCTCAGCTCTTTGTGGAGATGGTTTAACTCTCTTCACTAAGAATCACCGATAAAAGTAAATTGCCTTCTTTGCTCAAAATTCCACGAAATGAACGTTTTCCAAAACATTTTCCCTTGTTGCAAAGCCCATAAAATTTCTGTTCAAATAAATTGACCAGATCCGAGAAATCAGCCCCCTCATTTCCTTGGTCTCCACCAGTGAGAATGAAGTAAGTTCTTGGGTTGCGTGGGCAGCCTGAGGCATAGGAAGGGAAGACCACAGCTCATGGTCCTTTTTTATAGCCTCTGCCATTAACAGAATGGGGGTTTATGGCAGTGTTTGCAAACTTTTTTTTTAACCAGAACCTACAATAATAAATATATTTTATACTGTGACCTGGCACACACATACATACACACAGAGAGCTCAAAAAAATTCCCACAAAACAATTCTTACCATGTATGATGCACTCTGTTATTTTCTATTCTATTCTCTTTCATTAATTGATAAGAATGCTAGTCCTGACCTAGTAAATTGATTTCATAACACACATAGTAAGCATGCATTGAGACTTCTGTTCCATTCCCTTCTCTGCATTTTTTTCATTTATTCACTCATTCTCCTGCTAACGTGTAGATAGATAGAACTATAGCAGTTACTTCTATATGCTTATTTGCAAGAGGGAAATATGTTAGCAAAAGAGAGCAAATAATATTAGGAGTGGGAGAGGGAAGGCAAAGAAAAAGAAAGCCAACGGGTGGGCGTGGTGGGGAGCTCTACTTAATGTAGAGCTTTGCCAGCCTCCGGCCTTCCTGACGGCCTTGGGGACCCGCTGCCATGAATTGGTCCCCAGCTCCGGAAATGAAGTTCCCAATGACGCTGGGTTTGCTTTGTCACTGTTTCCCCACACAGTTTGTCTGTCATTGTTCCAGACAGAATGAACCTCATATTTTGGATTAATTGGGGGAAGATCAACAAAAATTAGTGAGAATTAAAGAGTATTTTAACAAAAGCAATTTTAGAACTTATAATTCACACAGTAACCCAATGTGTTTTTTAAAAAGCATGCAGCCTCTACCCAACACAACAACAATAATAGTAAGAAGAATGACTATTTATTCAACGAGTAATTAGTGGGCGCCTCCTATATATAGGCACTGTTCTAGGCACTGAAGCTACAGCAATGAATAAAACAGATGGTCCTGTTATTTTGGTACTAAAGTTCTGATAGAGGGAGATTATAACTGTTGTTTATCAAGGGCCTACTTTGTACTGAGTTTTTATGTATGTTTTCTCTATCTTGCAATCTAGGAATTATTAGTTTCTTTTCTAAATGGGAAATAAAAGCTTACAGAGGTAAAATAATACTTTGAGAGCAGCTTTTTTATTATATATCTGCTTAATTAGAAATAATGACAACGAATATTTCTTAATGCTTACCATGTTCTGAGCACTATGCTAAGTGTTTTCTGTATAGAAGCCCCTTTAATACTGATGAAAACCATATCAGGGAGCTTCTTTTATTATTCATTCTTCTGATGAGGAAACTGAGGCTTAGAGAGGCCCCATGGTACCATGGCCAAAAGTGGAATCCAGGTATTCTAACTTCAGAGCCTGAACTCTTAACCACTGTGCCATAAATAATTTCTTTTTAAAGAATGTTCTTCTCAAAATGCCTGAGATTGGCCTTAAGTCGTTTGAATATTGTATTTCTAGAACTTCCAGATGAAGTTCTAAAGCCATAACCTGCTTACTAACTATAATTCAAAATTGTGATACAACCATTCTTTATAAACAATTTGGAATCTAACTTTTAAGGATTTGCCTTCAGTTCCAGAACCTCAGGATCATAGAACTTTACAGGGTGTTTTGTTTTGTTTTACTGTGTTTTTACAATCTAGTCTATAAAGGGGCCAGAAGAAAACATGCTAGTGCAGGAAAATTTCATACAGTTCTAGAAGATTGAAAGTGACGTGCTTCGTGCTTAGTCCGCTCCCTCGGTGCCCGTCCTGGGTGAGCTTTGGCCCTCTGCCTCCCTCTCCTTCCTGGGATGATGGTGTTCCCTGGCTCCCGCAGTGGGCAGCTGCTCGGGACAAAGGAGCCCATTTTTCCATCTGTAAATATGAAGTATATTATATTTTTAGGGTTTCATTTTCTCATTAAAAAACCCATCACCTTGTATTCGCATGAATACGGTACATACTGGAGCTCATCCTTGATTTCTTTGTTGTAAGTTTGCCCATCTTGAAATTCTAGGAGGGTTGAGAACAGGCGGCTTTCATTAGATGAGTGTTTGAGAAGCGCATTGTGGAGAAGGAGTACAACTATAATAAAAACTGAAACAGAACAATTCTTCCTGAATCAGCAGTTGCCATCACCCTTTTCTGTTCCTTCTGGATCTGGTCCAGTGGCCTTGAGAGGGCAATGAAACATCATGGGGATAAGTGGGAAAAGAATTCAAAACAGAAGGCTGCTTCTCTAGATGCATGTTTCAAAACCAGAGACAGGAATTGCCTGGGGGGGGGGGGAGTACACTGAGACATGTTAATGCGTAAGACATAGATTTTCAGCAGATGGGAGAATGACATCCCGCCAAATGACAGAACCTTGGCACCTTGGCATCATTTATGTTATCCTTTAATATTTGGATGAATACATGTTTTATTTATCCAAGAAGTCATACTAATTATTATACCAAAAGATATCTAATTTACAATACAGATTCACAGAGTTCCACATATGTATTTATGAAACACTCCCTCCTCTTTCCCGCCAACCAATTGTATGAATTCAGTGCATATTTGCTAAACCAATTACCAAAAGACTGTCTTCATAAATAAAGAGGTAATTACCTATTTGCTTCAAGAAATTATCTTCTCTTCCTTTCCTCTCTCTTCCAAGTGACTCTTGCCTAAAATACCCAGATAATTTGAAGCAAAGTTTTAATCTTTTACATTCTGGAAAGTGTCTTATTCGGTCTCCTTTTGATGTTTAACTCATTGCTAAACATAAATAGGTTTACAAAAATGATTGCTTGCTTGACCGCTGGTTATTGATGGGTAGCAGTTTAGAAAGGAAAACAAGACTCAAGCCTTCACAGCCAGCAAGTTTCCATGGCCCTCCACACTCCATTAGAACATGCTCTGGGCTGTTTTTCTAGGAATGGTGAAGAATTTGCAGTGATATATCATCTCTCTAGCTGGCCCTTCTGGTGACCAGTGTTACTCAGCTGGGCCTTAAGTAGCTTTAGGGAATACTGTGGAATTGGACAGTTTTCACTCCACAGAATTTTCCTCAAGCCAAATGGCTCATCTCAACATTGAACTCAAATGCAAGAAAGTTAGAGAAAGTCAGCATGGATAACAAGCAAATGAAATGTGGTGACTCCTGTCTTGTCCATAAGAAGAAAGGTATAGTGATAAGGGTATTCTCTTGGAAGTGTGGGTTTAAATTCTGCCCTCCATAAATTAGCTGTGCAATACTGGGCAAGTTGCTTGACTTCTCTGGCTGGCCTCTTGTTTCTTCATAGTTTATCATTGTTGATAAAATAGTATTGACAATATCTGCATTATAAACTTGTCATGGAATTAAATGAATATGTGCCATCAGTCAGAGGTAGGACTTGGTGACTGAGTTGGTAGACCAGCATAAAAGGTAACTCAAAATATACAAAACACACAAACATACAAACATGTCACTGTGACTGGAAGAGCCACTGTGATACTTGTAGCGATAGTACAATATAATATTTCTTTGGGTTTCAAGAGGGTCTTGATTCTGATGGCAGGTTGTTTTCATAATAAAGATGTCAGGATGTTTTGAATGGGGCTGGTTTAGCTAAGCCCCATTTCTTCAAATGAAGAAAAAGAGGCTAATCAAGGTCATTATCTTTGCCATTTTCTGTGGAATGTGTTTCTCAAATACATGTTTAGGTGAGCATGTGTGGCTATAACCCACTCCCACACGCACCTGCATTCCCAGGTGACTTCCTATCTCCCCAGTGCCACAGTGCCCAAAAGAGAAAACTCCCGTATATTTTAAAGTGACAAGGCCCAATGTAAACTTTTTCGTTCTGAAACATTTAGGGCAGTTCCTGCCAAAGTACCCTTTTCTACAAAGTGATTTAGTACTTTAACTTGCCCCAGACACCTTGACACTTGTGTAAAGGTTAGTCTCTCATATTTCATGAGGTTGGGGAAAGGAGATGGTCACAGAGTTTAGGCGAGTGAGAAGAAGAATGATAACCTGCTCTTTAGGGGTTTTGTCTTCCATAGTTCTTCCTCTGTTTTCCTGGTTCCACCAGTATCAAAGCCATTGTGTATGTAGCAGATTGTACACATCTGTCCTGCTGTTGCCCTGGCAACAGTGTATGGCCTTGTTCCTGGTGGTCTTGTTAGTTTTACAAGCTGGAGTACCTGGAGCAGAGGTGGGCAGGTAGCCAGCCCCGTGTGGGACATGGATCTCCGTTAGGGGAAGGATCTACGTGGAGAATTGGTTAATAAATATACTCCCCCTCCCCTTTCTTGGCAGAAACAATACCGACTGTTGCTTAACTCCCTTTCAAAGGAAAAGGGGCCAATATGCAGAGGTGGGGGAGGCTTCTCATTTGACTATTGATTCTCCTTCTGTGCTTATGGCTAAAAAATGCCTTGATGGTTGTCTTCACCTATTTCGCAAGTAGAAAGAATGGGGAAATGCTTTCATATTGGTTTTTACTTTAAAAATACATTTTTTTAAAAAACCTATAAACTTCATTTCGTAGCTGTGGGTATTGGGATAAATTTCCCCAGCCCTCTCCCCATGGTGGAGGAGGGAGACTTGAGCCTCATCCTTTGTTTGCCACTTTGGTTTCCAGTGCTCGGCCTTGACCACTTAGTGCTCTTTCTGAATAGCTATAGGTCGGGAATAGTGGGCAGGAGCATCAGCGAAGAGTTGGCGTGAGAACCGAACAGCACCACAGAATAGAAGGCAAGAGGGAAAACAAGCGTCTTGGAGGAAGAAAATACTGCTGCCTGGTACCCCCTGGTGCCCAGAGATACCCGGTCTATTGTGCTTACAACACTCGCGAGGTCAACAGGGAGAGAGCCCGAAGAATTGCAGGCTTCAGTGGCGACAAGTTCAGGCAATCACGGGAAAGAGAGTGGGCCCCTTCTGAGAAAACTCATTGTGAGCACAGCCAAGCCGAGATATTTTGAGATGTGATTCAGACCTGAGAATGAAAATGGGGGGAATGGGGTGCTTGGGTTGAGAACAGATGTAGCCCATTTTTAATGTAGTTAAAGTGTTAAAGTGGTGTGTCCCAATAAATAAATACTTAACCCTTGGTTTCAAGAACGTGGGTGATGATAAAAGAGGTTAACGCTCATACACTAAAGCCAAAATTGGCTTCATCTGTGGGAGCTGCAGTTGGTTTTCTCAGAGGCAGAAAGTGCACGAAACCCACTTACGTAAGATCTGAGTTCAAGCTCCTGCTCCATTCTATTTGGCATTAATGAAGACCTTAGACAATTAATTGGTTTTTAATCTCTCTTATAGGTTGTTAAAAATAAGAGCATATCATATCAGGTACTAAGTAAATGATTGTTATGAAAATTATAAATGATACGATTCAAATTCAAATGAAATTATAAATTGAATATCATGGCTTCAATTCCACCTCAGTTAATTACCTTTGTATCAGAAATTTTGAAAAAACCCAACCAGTTATCTGGCAATCAGGAACATTATTTTTTTCAATACTTTACGTCTAAATATGTTTGTGTGAACAGAGTCACTACCTAAATGGTAGAATCTGATACTCATTGAAATATAGTGTAACCCTTTATTACATTTATGGAAATGCAATTTTTTAAATAGTAAAAAAAATAGTTTGATTAACTGTAATTAGATTTTAGTATTTTAGTGAGACAGAAGGAAGAAAAGTGAGGAAACAGCTAATGAAACTAAAGAGCCCACAGTATTATAGATAATTTAATCTTTTGAGAGTTTTGTGTCATTTTCAATTATTTTCTGGCCTAAGAAGAATTGGGAAGTATTCCATTAGCTAGAGCCATTAGGGAAGGCTTAAAAGTCATGCCTCCTTTTTTATCTTGCCTTGCCTGAGGTAGACTTTGAAAATCTTCAGGACAAGAGAGGTTTTTAAAATGAGATGAGGTATCCCAGACCTGTGGGACAAGGCGGAGGAAGGCAGGGTGCAAGAATGGGAACTACTGCACCAAGATGATTTTTTTATTTCATTTCATTTTTTCTTAATTTTTTAAGTTATTGTTAGGACTCTTTCTTTCTTCTTCTTCTTTTTTATTTATTTTTATTTATTTATTTATTTTGAGACAGGGTCTCACTCTATTGCTTAGGCTAGAGTGCAGTGGCATCATCATAGCTCACTGCAGCCATGGATTCCTGGCTCAAGCAATCCTCCTCCTGCCTCAGCTTCCCAAATACCTGAGACTACAGACATGCACCACCACACCCGCACACAGCTTATTTTTGTATTTTTTGTAGAGAGAGGGTCTCACTATGTTGCTCAGATTGGCCAAAATAATTAATTTTTAAATTTTGATTAGGTGAGATGAAATGAAACAACAGAGAAATTATTTGAGAATTTTGGCCTTATTACCCAATGTCTACCTTATATGCAAATTGAAGATAGAGCAGCAGATGATCAGAATAATAGCTTAAATTTTACATTAAAATCATCCAAAAAGACTCCCAAATACATAGACAAAATAATACTTCTTTTGACATAATTCAATGGCAGTTAATCTTTGTGAATCATCACAATGCTTAAACTTGAGCTAAATTTATATTATCCTGCCAGAAATTTTTAAAAAATATTTTTGTATACACACACGCACTGCTCACTACTCACACTTATAGCTTCCCAACTAGAAGTAACGTAGGAAAGAATTTGATTGCACTTCCAGACAATTGGAGAGCAATTTTTATTTGGCCATGAGACATCAACTCTTGGGGTGGAGAACGAGTGATTGTTTGCTGACACAGCTGCTGTCTAGCCATTCTGTGGCTTTTTCTCTTTTCCTTTAGAGATGTCCTAATTACATTTGGGGCCAAGTTCTCATAACATGTACAGAATCCCATTGCGGGCCGGGATGAGGGTAGGGGAGTGTAAAAGGAAATACTGTTCCCACTGTCTTCCATTGGAGAATTCCCTGGACTGACTTCCTGAAAATCTTCTGTTTGCATTCACCAGGAATGGCGGCCCTAGATAGTAAGGCATCAGGGAAGATGGGGATGCGAGCTGTAGTCTATTACATGACTACCACCATCATTGCCGTGGTGATTGGCATAATCATTGTCATCATCATCCATCCTGGGAAGGGCTCAAAGGAAAACATGCACAGAGAAGGCAAAGTTGTACAAGTGACGGCTGCAGATGCCTTCCTGGACTTGATCAGGTATGTCCTTGCAAACCCCTGTCTTTGGGTATGTTCGAACCCACCCAACCCCTCTTATTTTGGGAAGCTCATCAAACCCTGGAAGGGGTATCTGACTGACCCAGCCTGGCCAGACTTAAAACAAAGGCTATATCTTTGCTTCCTTCTAACAGAAATTCCAGTAAGGATCCATTTTCTGATCTCATATGAAAGAGGCGGGAAGAACGAGGAGAGGATGTAGAGTCTGAGAGCCCTGCTTTTAGGACTCAGAATCTGGTCACTCAGTTCTCCTCTCAAATATGCTGTTCATCTTGGAATTTTAATAATTCTTAACCTATTTTTCTTAAGTCCTGCCCCTTAAGGCTAATTTTTATTCAAGTATGTCCTGTTCATTTGACTCTTCTGATTTAGCACTTGTGATCTGTATCATTCTCCACTATACACAAGTTAGTTCCAGAAGGGACGTTATAAGTTCTTTAGATCATCTGGTCATATCTGTCGCAGGGCTTTCCTTTTGTACTATTTATGAAGAAAGCATTTGGCAGATCAGCAATAAAAGATTTAAAGGATGGCTTCTTAAGCATCGTTTTATGTACAAACCACACACTGATTACAAATGAGTCTTATCCAACACTTGGAGCAGACTTGGTCCTAGAGGCTGCCTTGCACAGGGCTGAGAAGTAAGTCAGAGTTTGATCCTGGCTCTTCCTGCTTTCTCTCTCCACACACCTGGCCTGGTTTAGTCAGGTCCCGACAGAGGCATACCATGCACTGGAGAGGAACACTGAAGAAGGTTTGCAAAGGTGCATGCAGAGTTAAGGGAACCCACAGGGATGGTGAAGCCTCAGAATACTAACAACAATAGGAAGCTGTTTCATTACCACTCCTGGCTATGATGGGGCAAAGGAAGGGAGCTGGTACTGGAACCCACCACAAAGAGCTGGAGCCATGGTAGCAAGGGGCTTCAGGGTAGAAGCCATAGCTTTAATTGGAGAAAGGAAGCTGCCTCCAAACCTGTCAAAGATAACTGGGAGAGTATACACATGGACTTCCTTCTCCCTGTACCCTGTGATCTGTCAGTGCATACCACTAGATAAACCCAATGGAAGCAAGAGAACCTACATGCTATAGTCCACAGGGGTCAGTATCTCAGGGCTCAGTGTCCCAGGGCACAGAGCAGAATGGAAAGTGCATCTGGAAGGGTAAAGGGGAGATATCCCAGCCCAGGCCTCTAGATACCCCACCCGCTCAGCAGTCCCCCATTGTGCAGCCTTTCTCTGCCTGCCCTCCCAACCCAGCCCTTCCCTCCCATCCCTGCAAAGGATCTGGGCTTGCCAATCCTACTCTAAAAGGTGCTCCATTGATCATCTGAAGGAAACTCCTTCAAGGGATTGATTTCACCTGCCACCTCAAAGAATGAGTCTGTGGCAAGTAGATTAAAGAGCTATTTGGGGAACAGACCATCTTTTCAGCAGCATCTCTCTATTCCCACCATGGGTGACCCTGTACCCTCTATACGTAAACACCACCCAAACCCATAGGGCCTCTTCTTGAAAGCCCTTTTTCAGGGAATTAATCACAACGATCTGAATATAACAAGCCATCCTATAACATTATTTCATATCAGGTGGTTGCCTGATAACTATGCTTTTATTTAGTTCATACAAGTAATTAAGGCTTTTCACCATTTCTTCATGAGCTTTACCCTCTGGTAGTTTGGATTAGGAATACATTATTATATTTTATATTTTCTTCCCCTATAATTTTTACTCGCTGTTTGAAGAATTAAGATCTTGTCATCCCTAGTCTGGTCAGAGCTCTGTGTTTCTGCCTCTTCTTGCCTCAGTTGACAAGTGTATGATTATCCTGTCCCCACCCAGTCACTTAACTTGAGCACTTATCCTGAAATCTCCTGAATGCACACTTCTATCAAGGTTTTCAGAAACAAACCCTTGAGCATAGACAGGAAGGAAAAGACAACAAGATGGTCTTGGTAGTAGGATGAAAGGGACAAGAGTTTATAACCATAAAATATAACTTAAATAGCACACAACTGCGGTGATCTTGAGCTTGAGACAACTGTCCAGGTCGTGTCTTCTTCTTCCATGGTCTTCCAGCTTGGAGCCCTAATGACAGTTTAATCCAATCTCCTCTTTAACAGATGAATCAACCGAGACATAAATGGGCGCCATGACTTGGCCAATGCCACACAGCTGCTTAGAAATCCGTAACCAAAGTGTGGCTCCTCCCTCACCACCCCAACAAACTCAAACACTGCTCTGACATAGACTCTGAGGAAGTGACCAACCCTGCCATGTGGGCCTCAAGTTCAAATGTTGTGGGCCATCTCTCCATTGGCCTCCAAAGAGCCCCAAAAGCTTCAACAGTTCAGTGCCAATATCTCAGCCCTCAAAAGGCCTTTAGGAGGAATTTTCAGAGAACAAAATTCCAAAGTCTGACCATGACTTTTGATTCAGAACATTCAGTCCCTAAACACATGGTACAATAACCAAAATGACTACTATTGAATAATACCTCTGTTAGCCAGAATGCTAATGATAAAAGCCCTTTCTGTTCTCACTTTGATTCTTCCTAGGAGCAGGGTTCTGATAATTTTTAATGACTGCACAAAGAGACTGACAAGAGGATAGAAGAATTGAATTGGAGACTTCCCTAAAAAACATGAACTACATGGGCCCAACTTAGGGGGGACCATAGGTTCTATTTCAAGTCATAAAATCCGCCAAAATCTTTCTCTTTTTCCCTTTGCTGCTTGGTTCAATGCAATCTTTACTTTAGATACAATGATATAGTTTTTAAGGAACAAACATTATTTGGAGAAATTTTCAAGCTACTATATTTTCTTTGCAGGAACATGTTCCCTCCAAATCTGGTGGAAGCCTGCTTTAAACAGGTAAATACTCTACAGCCACGAATTCACCTTTGAAATTCCTTTTTGGCATACCACACCAAATAGGACCCTTTTTTTCTATTTTTCTACAATTTTGCAGGGAGGAGTGGCTCTTACCTTGTACTGAAGGCATATTAGTTGCCAGACACAGTATGTCTTACATACAAATAGCCATTGAGTCTCTGTTCCTGGTAAGAAGACTAATCACAAGATCCCCTCACACTGCCCACACTTCCCACATGCAGAAGTCTACCAAGCAAGCAAATTCCAATGTAAAATACATTTACAACTTGCTTTAGAGAATATTTGAGAGATTATTCAGGTTTCTGAGTTTGATTTAAAAATCCAGTGCACTGGTTTTTAGACGTCTACTAAGGGCCTTGTGGGTTCTAAAGGAGAACCACATCAGAAAGGAATGGCATCATCATTTATGGAGTGCATGCTATGTGCCAGGCACTAATGTTATATTTAGTCCTCACATAAATATGATGAGTATCATTGTCTTCATTTCACTGATGAGGCAACTCAACTATAGAATTCAGGGGGATTATGTAACAGGCACAAGTTCTCACAAGTAGTAAATGGCAGACCCAGAATTCAAATCCCTTGTCTTGGCTCCAGATTTTATTCTCTTTCTGCTACGCCATTCTGCTTGCAAGAAAGGAATATCCAGGGTGATGAGACACCTACCTGGAGGATACAGTGAGGTGAGGTTCCTTTTGAGCTCATATCCAAGCGACTCTTGGTGGTCTATGCTTTGGATACAATTACATTTACTATTATTAGGGGATAAAAATCAATCAGGTTCATTATAACTTCACTTGAATATAAAGGCTTCGTTGCCCAAAATATCAACAGGGAAACAGACATCCCAGGTTACATAATGCTTCCCAAACATTTCTCCAGGTGATATTCTCCCTGTTGTAATTCCCTAGCCCTTCTGCTTAGGATCTGTATAAAACAACAACAAAAAAAAAAAAAACCCAGCCCATGGAGGACCAGGTTTTATACATTTAAGTCCCCCCTCTGTTATTTTCCCCTTTAAAAATTTTTATTAAGTCTATTTTAATAAATAATGCATGCACACATTGCAAAATTCAAACAATTCTTTCTTTAAAAAATAAAAAGCCTAAGAGGCCAAAATCTAACTTTCTTTATTCAAAAACAACTGTAACCATAAATAATGAACCCCTTCAATCTGACCAGCCAACCCCAGCACCATGGGGCTGACTATTCCAGTCAGTCAGCTGGCACTTGGTGATATCAAAAACGCTGATTTCTAGATCTTTCAGATGAGAAAAGTGATGACTCGTGCAGATTTATTATGTTTGGTTTGGGATTGCATTTACAGGATTTCGAAGGGGAAGCAAATGTTTTTCCCCAGGTCTAGTTGGCTTAGACAGAATGTAAACAAGGTTGCAGTTTCTGTGTAGGCTACAAACTGTGTCTAAGGGAACAGAGTTGGAGACATAAGAAAGGCTAATTAGGACTGAAAATCTACCCCACACAATCCATAAATGCATAGGCACCCTGTGGAATAAAGAACTTTGAGAGTTGATTAGAATAGGAGATGAACAGGGGCCAGTTGTTTTGTTGTTTGAAATTGCCAGCAATGCTACTGATCATTTGGGAATGTGTCCACAGTATTGACAGCTAGGCATGTCCTTGTTTGGGAATAGTGGCTTCCCAGTGGACGAGAAAGTCTCCCGTTTACTCTGGTACAGAAATGGTCAAGCACTTCATGTATGGCAGTGCTTCCCCCATTCCCCCGACTCTAGATCCTGTCACCACCCACACATTATTACTCTCACTGATGCTTTACTACAATCACCATCAAGACCAGGAATTCTACTCTCATTAAAATCATAAAGGAATGGGCTCAAGTGTTTCATGTGGCCCCAGTAACGTCCTCAGCATCTCCTGTGTGAGGCACCTGTACAGAAACTATGGGGCAAAGACCATCTCTTGAGTTAGAAAAAGAGAAACACCACTGCAGACTTGGAGAAAGTGGGTTGTGAACTATTAAATCAGACATCTATTCTTAAGAATTGATAATATCAGGAATGGCTTAAAGATTGTTTGCGTGGGGATTTTTATTTTTATTTTTTTATTTTTTATTGTACATTTTATTTTTATTTTTTTTTAGAGATGGAGTTTTGCTATTTTGCCCAGGCTGCTCTCAAACTCCTGGGCTCAAGTGATCCTCCCACCTTGGCCTCCTGAGCTGCTGAGCTTATAAGCGTGAGCCACCATGACCAGCAATTTTTAACTTTTAATACCTACTGAAATCTCCAACTAAGTCTCATCCCTGAAGGGCTTTGTTATTGAGCACCATTAGCCATCATTAGTATAGTAGTTTAAAATTTACAAGATGTTTTCATATATTCTGCTTAATTTGATCATCAAGACAAGCCTGTGAGGTGGAACCAGCACAATTATTCCTGTTTCACAGCTGTGGAATATGAAACAAAGGATGTTAGGTGATTTGTCTACAATCCCATAGCACAATCCTCATGGAAAGTGAAAGGATTATTGTGATTATTTGGGGTTTTAATCCCATTGTAGTAATTTTATTAGGATTTCAGAAGAGAGCAAAAGCATACGTGTGTGTTTGGTCCACCATCTTTAACCAAATACTTCTTTCCTATTATGAGTCATTTATTTATTTGTGCGTGTGTCTGTCTGCCTGTCCGTGTTGAGGAGATAGTAGGGGTTTGCTACAGATTAGATAGATGGATATTGTCTATGACAATGTTCTCTGAATACAAAGTAATGTATACGATTATAGAAAATTTGGACAACAGGAAAGTATAGAGAAAAAATAAAAATCACCATTAATTCCTGTTGCTCTTTTTATTTTTAAGTTTAAAACCAACTATGAGAAGAGAAGCTTTAAAGTGCCCGTCCAGTCCAACGAAACGCTCATCGGGGCTGTGATAAACAACGTGTCGGAAGCCATGCAGTCTCTCACTCGGATCACAGAGGAGCTGGTTCCAGTTCCAGGATCTGTGAATGGGGTCAATGCCCTGGGACTAGTTGTCTTCTCCATGTGCTTCGGTTTTGTGATTGGCAACATGAAGGAGCAAGGCCAGGCCCTAAAAGATTTCTTTGATTGTCTTAATGAAGCCATCATGAGATTGGTAGCAGTGATAATGTGGTATGTATTGCCATTTGCTGTATATGATGTGCACCAGGTGCTTATTGCTATCAGCATGTGTTCTGTACTGAGGATGATGCCACAAGGCAGGATGGCCAATTGCAGTTATCTCACTCTGGTAAGCACAAGAAAATCAATGAATTTCTAGGCCTGTAGAGGCATTAAACCTACCTGCAAGCCTCTCTTAATAAGTTTGCTTCCTTATTTTCAAAAGGTGTCAGCTCCTTTGCCCAGGTGCTGATGGAATCCCGTTCTTAGTTATTCATGCAAGCCATATTTATTGAGTGTCTACTATATGCCAAGTATATAGTGCCAGGCACTGTGCATATGGCAATGAAGAAAACATATAAGAATACCCTGGATCTTACGTCCTCTTAAGGAAGACAGATGATAAACAAACAAATCAATCATACGCTTTAGTCGAAAGTGCTATGAAAAAGTAAAATAAAACAAAATAGTGGGTGACTGGGGAGAGGGCATGAAATTTGCGCTGGATGGTACAGAAAGGCGTATAAGGAGGTGACATATTTTGCTAAGACCCGAATAACCAGAGGAGGCCAGTCATACAAAGTGCGAGGAGAATAGCATTCCCAGCAGAGGGAAAAGCAAATGCAGAGGCCCCTAGACTACCAGGAAGACGGAGGTCTCCTCACTCTGTGTCAGCCCTAACAAACATTGTAAATGGCGGTTCTGCTGCGGTATGTGAAGGAACCAAGGGAAGTATTATAGAGCACCAGGCCACAATTTATAACACGACTTCCTTTATTAAAGTTGAGAGCAGGAGAAAAAGGAAAAGACCAAATCCAAAGAGGAACATTGACCTTGGAAAGTTAACTCTCCCAGCAGGGAGAGAATCCTTTGATTGGCTTGCCTGTCACGTGGGGGTTGCCTGTCTTTTATGCCTTATTTTTAATCTAGACTCCTCCTTGGCACCTGAGGCAGGAAGACATCCATTGCTAAGAAAAGCACTCCCTCACCAACATGATTAAAAATGTTCTTTGTCTTTAATGCCACCAAAGGCCAGAGAAATTCATTTTTCAGGAGTTTATTCAAGATGAATATGAACGAGTGCACAAAGACGGATCAGAATGTGGTCTCCACGGGAGCCCCCAATGGGAAGGCTCCTTTGAAATCCTGGCAGGAATGAAAGTGGACATTTATCTTCATATTATTAAAATGCCTCCACCTTTCACCTCTTTTATGAAAGAAGCCCATTCAAGGCCACTGAATGAACCTCACATGTAGCCTTTCTAGCTGTACATTTTGCCTGCACATTCAATATTGAGTTATTACATTTCTGAAAACAGGTACTCCTGTGATTTCCTGGCCTGTGTTTTTAAGGGCTTTTGAAAGAAGCATTGTATTTTTCAATTTGAAATAAGTTTTCTACAGTTCCCAGCAGACTCTATTCCTTAAGGGTGATTGGTAATGTGAGTTTGGTTGCAGTTTACTGCACACATCAGACAAAAGGAGTGGAAAGGGGGCAGCGAGGCCTTTAAGCAACCAGGGTTATTTCAATATGTACAAGTCATTTTGTGTCTCAGTTGTTCATTCTTACAGTCTGCAGGGGAAAAGCTCACAAAAGGCAATAGCAGCCTGTGGGTGTTAATTGCTTGATTAGACCACCTATAACCTCATATGGGAACACAAACGAGCACATGATTAAGTTTATAGACACCTTCTATTTATGGAAAGTGGTACTAGTTTTCCGTTTGCACTACAACATAAAATTTTCTCTTAAAGTAAATTGACTTAAGTAAAAAAGGTGTTTTAAGAATAATACTAGGTCAAACTGCAAGTGGTGTGTAGCTATGGAAAAATAATAAAGTGGTCGTTGAAGAAGAGAGCTGACTGCGAACCTGAAACTCTGACGTAGCATTGTGTGCCTCTTGCTGTGACTTGGGAATCAGGCTCTGATGTGGAAAATGTCTCCAAACTCTGAATGTCAGTACAGTGGATTCTAGCAGTTCAAGGTACTCGGCAGAGGAGCGGGAGGCAGAGGGGGTGAGTGGCATCTGAGGATCAGAAAAGTGACCCAGGTGCGGCGAAAGAACTGTCGAGGAAAATGGAGATGAGTAACAATAGCTGGGTACCTGCCTTTTTTCACAGGTTTAAGAGGAAAAAAAAAAGTGGCGTCCTAGAGCAATACTAAGTGAGGGGAAAGCCCGATTCTGCAATAACCAGGGGAAATTTATATTTAAATAAGAAAAGAAAGAAGTTCGCAGTTTCTACAGGTCCTAATAAGTGCCATGGGCAGAAAAGTTTGGAAATCAAGTCTCTTTCCCTTTTTCTTTCTGCGGACTTTCTGCGGACTAGCTTGGTGGAAACCAGACTCTGACTGTGCGCGTGTGGCTTCCCCGCAGGTACGCCCCTCTGGGCATCCTCTTCCTGATCGCAGGGAAAATCGTGGAGATGGAAGACATGGGTGTGATTGGGGGGCAACTTGCCATGTACACGGTGACTGTCATTGTTGGCTTACTCATTCACGGAGTCATCGTGCTGCCCCTCCTCTACTTCTTGGTAACCCGGAAAAACCCTTGGGTTTTTATTGGAGGGTTGCTGCAAGCACTTGTCACAGCTATGGGGACCTCTTCAAGGTATGTGTGTGTGTCCAGCTTACTCCTATCAGAAATCGTGTTTGAAGTGTTACTTTGAACCAGAGCCTCTCAAGTTGCGGGTAGGAGGAGGCAATTTGTTCTGGGTTTTAACTTCCAGGAATAATGAATTGGCTTTTTCATGTCTGACGCTCATCAGACCTATTTAGGATTCAGGGAATGGCTGGCTATGTACTCTTTTGGGGGACAAAATGGAAATCAACTATCTTTTCCTGCCCACTCTCCTCTCCCTCTTCCAGTTGATATTTACCATAGGGGGAAAGGCCGGAGGGACTTGGCACAGGCTGTTGTGATGGGGAGTGATCACAAGTGGTGCCTCACAGAGGAACCCAGAAACAGGAGAGCTGCCAAGTGACCCCGTGAGGGGACCACACTGTTCCTAACCCCGCTCTCCTATTTATACAAGTGCTGACTTAGTTCCCTCTAAGTTAGGATGTAGGAGAGGAAGGAACTGTCTGTGCAAAAGACCAAACACACAGACAGAGTCTGAACTACCAGGACCCTCAGCTGACGTGCTCTGTTCCACTGTTCTCAGTTCTGCCACGCTACCCATCACCTTCAAGTGCCTGGAAGAGAACAACGGTGTGGACAAACGCGTCACCAGATTCGTGCTTCCCGTGGGGGCCACCATTAACATGGATGGGACTGCCCTCTATGAGGCTTTGGCCGCCATCTTCATCGCTCAAGTTAACAACTTTGAACTGAACTTTGGACAGATTATTACAATCAGGTACAAAGAACGAGTTCTACACAACATTTTATGAAGACTGTCTTTAAAACACCAGAGGATGATCAGGATTGGGTGAAAAAACTGGTTGGGAAGGGGATCACACATAATCAGGAGTTTGGGGTTGCGGGGAATAGTTGTATTTTTATACTTAGATATTTTTATTAGTTTTCAAATTAAAGATGTACACACTCAATAACCAAATTCAAATAAAACAGAAATGTATAAAGAAATACGGGAAACTTGCCTGCTACCATATCACTCCACGTCTTTCTGTAGGTATTTGTGTTTGACTTAGAAAACCCTTTTCTTATATGTAGACATACACACACTTCTTTTTTGTAATTAATAGAATCATATCCTACATGCTCTTTGCTCCTTGGTTGGTTTGCTTATCAATATACCATTTATAAATATATCTGGCTCATTCTTTTTATGATGTCTGCAAAATACATACTATGGATATTTCTCATTTTTAAAAGCATAACATTATACTTCACTATAGAACTTTGTTCATAAATTATCTTGCTTTTGAATTAATCAATGATTTTTTTCTACAGTTAATGATGCCTGTTCAGTATCTTTACAGCCCTCCACTTGGATAGGGGAATGATTAGAAACAAACTGTTATTGTAACTCAACAGCATTTTAGACCTTACAGAATACTTTCAGGGACATGAAAAAGTATATAGCTAACAGTTTTTTCTTTTAAAAACAACTATCACAACAGGACCAACTTCATAAGGGTTGCTGTGAGGATCAAATGAGATAAGCCATGCTCAGCATATCAGATGACACATAATAAGCACATGATAAAGCCATTAGTATGATTATGATCTTAATGATTTTTTTAAATCTCATTTACATTTTTCGGAAGCACATCCTCTTCTGTCACATGGCAAGTCGGCGGCGGGCACTGTGCGTGTTTTGCAGGGCATACTCTCTCCTTGGAGGGCTTTGTAACAATGTTTTCTGTTTTGTTCTTCATCCAACAGCATCACAGCCACGGCCGCCAGTATTGGGGCGGCTGGAATTCCTCAGGCAGGCCTGGTCACTATGGTCATCGTGCTGACCTCCGTGGGCCTGCCCACCGATGACATCACTCTCATCATCGCCGTGGACTGGTTCCTGTGAGTACGCCCCACTGCGCTCCGGCTCACTGTCGCAGGGCCCCTCTCTGTCACTCTAGGGCACCAGGCAGCCTAGCATGCCTGCCAAAAGAACTCCTAAAGAGGATTAGGTTGGCCGGTAACTAAATTGTCCTCGTGGCCTGATCTCTGGCCCTTATCTGGAGACGAAGCCCCAGACGCCATGCGCACTCACTCGCCTATCAGCCCAAGGGGCTCATCTGGCTGCTGCACTTCTCACTCCATAAAGCATCTCAGGGATTGGGAAACCTGCTCTCTGTGAAGCCGACATTAATCAGCAAGGCCCTCTCTGAATTGCGCAACACATTATTGCCACAGCGGCTGGAGCAGAACTGCAGGCCCCGCATGCTTGCTCAGGCCCGGCCCCCCAGCCCCCTCGAGCTTCCCGTCCCAGTGGCAGCAATGTCCCCATCTGAGCCCAACAGGGTGAGGAGGGGTCATGCAGACAGTGGGAAGACAGCTAGCACCATTAAGTGGAATCGATTTTTGATTCTGGGGAAAGTTCCGAGAAATGTACCCTCCATACCCTCCGGCCCTTACCTCCAGGGCCCATCCCACTGTCCTCTTACCTCACTCACCCAGCTGACATTCTCAGCCCCTTTTCTCTCAAAATTTCCCCTTCCACTTTTGAAAAATTTTTCCCCAAGATGCCCAAACCAAATACCTAATAGAACACAGTAGGTGCCGAGTCAACATATGTTGACTTTGCTGAAACTAATGACCACAAAGAGCTCGACAGTGTGCACGAGCTCTGTGCTTGTGGGGGGTGCTGGGGAGATTTATTCCCCAGCTACTTGGACCTGTGTTTGCGCCGTGGCCCTGTGTGACATGGGGCAGGTTACCCAACCACCCTAGTTTCCACCTCCATACAGTGAGGATGCTCATGCCCTCTAGCCCCTAGTGGTACTGTGAGGGTCAAAGGCAACGATGCTTAGAAAGCTTTCGGCACACTTGTCTGGCCCACAGTGAGCACTCGGTTCTCAAAGTTTTTGATCTTTACATTAAAAATGATTGACGAATGAAAAAGCATTTTATCTACATGGGTTATATCTATCATTACTTATCATACTAGAAAAACTTAGAAATGTTAAAATGTTTAAATGTATTAAATAAATTTTAAATTGATTTAGAGGTTACATTAATACATTCATTACATGTTAACATAAATAACTTTTTTGTGAAAAATAACCATTTTCAAACTACAAATTTAGTGAAAAGAACGGCAGCACTCTACATTTTGCAAATTTCCTTACTGTCTGGCTTAGCACAATACAGCTAGAGTTTCATAACTGATTCTGCATTCTCTGTGTTGTGATAGCACACACGGTGGGTGGAGTCTTTGCAAAACTCCAACATACATTCATAAGAAAATGAAAGTGGAAGGGGCAAATGACATCTCAGTAATATTATGAGAATAGTTTTGACCTCAGGGATCTCTGGACCACACTTTGGCAACCTCTGGTATAAAGGAGTGTGAGTTAGAGGAAGAGAAATTTTATTTATGTATTTAATTTCTAAAAATAAATTTTTTTTGAGACAGAGTCTCACTTTGTTGCCCAGACTAGAGTGCCATGGCGTCAGCCTAGCTCATAGCAACCTCAGACTCCTAGGCTCAAGCAATCCTCCTGCCTCAGCCTCCCGAGTAGCTGGGACTACAGGCATGCACCACCATGCCCGGCTAATTTTTTCTATATATTTTTAGTTGGCCGATTAATTTCTTTCTATTTTTAGTAGAGACAGGGTCTTGCTCTTGCTCAGGCTGGTCTCGAACTCCTGACCTTGAGCAATCCTCCCACCTCGGCCTCCCAGAGTGCTAGAATTACATGCGTGAGCCACCGCGCCCGGCCGAAGAAGAGAAATTTTAAATGAAAGGAGAATGAGAAGGGTCATTCCCCACTGTTGGGACTCTAGCTACAGTCAGACTAGTCACTTAGTGAACATTGTTCATCTCTGTCCTTATACCTTTTAATAGGTACTATTATAAATGTTATGCATCTGTTATATAATCATGCAGTTGATGGATACGCCAAACTGAATTTTAAGAGATGCTTCTAAAGACAATGCCAGTCAGTTCATAGCATAAGTTGAAATCTCATGATGTTCATAGGAGCCTCATTTTTCCTTCCTTCCCACCCTGCCTGCAGGGACCGCCTCCGAACCACCACCAACGTGCTGGGAGACTCCCTTGGAGCTGGGATTGTTGAGCACTTGTCACAACATGAACTGAAGAACCGAGATGTTGAAATGGGTAACTCGGTGATTGAAGAAAATGAAATGAAGAAACCATATCAGCTGATTTCCCAGGACAGTGAAACTGAGAAACCCATCGACAGTGAAACCAAGATGTAGACTAACATAAAGAAATGCTTTCTTGAGCACCAGGTGTTTGAAAACCTTTATAAAATGTCTGCATCTCGTTACAGCTCATTTTCTCCAGTAAGCCCCTCCCCTCCCTCCTTACTCTGAGAAGATTGGACAGTATTCATCCAAAAACAGGGGAGCATTTTGCAGTGGCCAAAATGTATAATTTTCATCCCACATTTGAAATTTTTAAATCATTTCATATTAGTCTTACTCAATGAGGTACTGAGATCAAAAATAGTCTTGATCAGATCTTATAAGTGTGTGTGGCACATAATCCTATAAATGTGATTTTTTTATAAGTTAGAGAATCAAACAAATAATAGGCTAGAAGCATTTTTAAATCAACTTTTGCCATTTAAAAATCCTTCAGAACAGAATTGAGTTCTAGTCTCAAAATATTACAACTTTGATGAACTGCCATCTGTTATCAGTGGGACAGTAGAAGAGTTTTTTCCCTTTCTCTTCACACTGTCATACATATTTTATTAGTAGCTAGGTGAACATACACTCCTAGCACAGTGGTGGGGAGGGGCAGAAAGTGAAGTTTTTGCATGGCTTTGAGTAAGTCATATGTCATTTCTAGGCCTCAGTGTCCTCATCTATAAAATGAGTGACTTCCCTAGATGCCTCCCTGGTCACTTCTAGCCCAGACATCCTGTGACATCATGAAAGAGCCTGCACTCTAATTTCCCTGGGAACACCTGGTACCACGTATCAGTCCCTGTAGCACCGGGCTTTCAGAAAGGATGCTTACTGGGAGTAAATATTTCTAATTAGGAGCAGGATGGCTGTGTGGTTGACCAGGTCCTGTGGTCAAAATGCCAGGAATGTATGCGAGTTGCCAGGTGGGAGGCCATTCCAGGAGTGGGTTTTACTCATAAAACCCTCTGCCCAGTTCTTCCCAACAGAGAAAGTATTCCCTCCTTTCCTACTCTTCCCAAACTGAAAGGACTGTGTTGGGAAGGATGTCTCTTCCCACCATTCCTCAACTGATGATAGACTTCTTGAAAATAAAACAGAAGACTAGTAGTAATTAGCAAGGGTGCTTGTGGTCATACTATGAAACACTAAAGAGCTAGGAAAGAATGGAGCAAAGTTGACCTTATAAAAAATGGATTTTAAAATATTAAGAGACTAGGTCTTCAAGGAAGAATGAAAAAGGAGAGGTTCATTTTAGTTTTGTTTTACCTGAAACACTTTTTCTCTTCAGTTCAAAATCATTCCCCAATGAAGTCTGTATACCAAAATATAAGATCACTTATGTATTTTAAAGAAGTCAAATGAATGAGCTCTCTGATAAAGATCTATGAGTGGGTGAGTGGTCTGATATTTGAAAATGTTTTTTACTTTAATCAGAAGTTCTTAGAATGAGAGAAATAAGATATTTCTTTATGTTGGAATCCCACTTACCAAGTCATTCAAAACCACCAGCCGGAGTAGGGTTTCGTTTGTTTTGTTTGCATCCTAAGAGAAATGGTAGAAGATGAATCAGTATGAAGACAGTGTCAATGAGAATGCAAGAAAAAACAGCAGGGGCATTAGTTTCAGGCAAGGGAGCTCCCAGGTTTAGAGGAGATTAATTTTTACCCCTTCAGGAATATCAGCGTCAGAGACGCCGAGTGGGAGCTGTCAGACGACAATACCAGCTGTGTTTTGAGTTTCTGACTGAAAGTGGTGAAGAATGGACTTAATTATGCTAACAGACTGAAAATCTAGACGTACATCTTTTGATATATAATTAGAGATATTTTTATATAGATCCCAAGCATTATATGTGTATAAAAGTTAACATTAGGCAATGGTGGAGTAACCATTTGATGTCAAGGCTCTATTTGGGAAATACACTACAAAAGATAATGTACATGGCTGTCATGACACTAGTAGAGCAAAAATTAATCCTGTCAAATTAATTCTGTTACACAATGTGATTTTTTTTATACTAACCATTTCTTACGGAAAGCAGGTCCTTTAGGGTGACTCTGCATACGCGTGCACCCAGTGTGGACTGGGAAGCATTACTTTGTAGATGTATTTTCAATAAAGAAAAAAAATAGTTTTACATGAATATCTTTGCATGTTGTTGTCATTCTTCTCCCCAGAAGAAAATAAATTTTACATTCATGGAAGTATTGCAATGAGCTCAGGCCATGCTGGGGAAGGATGCCATGCAGCAGGGCAAGATGTTAGCTGAACCAGTGGGGTCTGGGGGAGCCACAAGAAAACAAGGAAGGACATGCCCCCCCTGCTCCATTCCAAGAACTGGAGCTGGAAACAGGAGGAGGTGAGGGAAGAAGCACTTTGCTGTAATAGCCTGCACTTACTTGTCCGTGTCAGACTTAAATTTCTCAGGTAAATTGAATCATTTCCACGTTAGGATTAGAAAAGTGTAATGCCACCATGGGTTCTTCCAAAAGAGTAATTTCCTGTCTGACCTTCAAATTAGGTAGATTTATCTCTCTGATTACTACCACCATTTACGGAAAGAGCTGAATAAGATCTCAAGGGATTTCCAGAAACAGCCATTGTGCTAGTGAACCACTCTACTCATTAAGAATGACTTATTTCCTTCGTGCTTTTTAATAAAGATTTGGCAGGAAATCACATGAAATATCCAGATTGAAGTTGTGTCTGGAGATCCTTTCATCTGACCCTCTACCTGCAGATGGCAGCCACCTAGAGGAAAGGCTCTTAAGTAGGGGACCTATAGGTCCTCCACATGAAGACTTCAAGGTTCAGAGCCCTAGGAATTGTGGGAGAAGTTTTGTGCATTTGTCTTTGGGGTGAGGTGAAATCCTTACTTTCCATAAATTGCTCTAAAGGATCTATGACCCACCCTGCCCACAAATCCGCAAATCACTGAGTTTGATCCATATCCATCCTAACTTTTTTGAAGGCATATTTGGAATCCACATGGCCCTTTTGGGAAAAGGAAGACTGGTCACAGCCTGAGGGATGTAAACCTGGCCCCCTGAGGGAACCAATATTTGTAAACCTGTGGCGCATTCTGGACACCGAGAAGCATTCTGGGAAATGCCACTAAAGATCAATCACTGCTAGGAAGTGCTCCCTCCTGCAGTGACCAGTTTCCTTCCCTTCTGCAGCCTGAGCTGGATTTAGCCCACCCGCTGGGTGCAGGTCTGTGGGGAGGCCACTGCGGCTGAGGGACAAGCAGCCCTGCGGGGGTGTGCAGGGACGGACAAGCGGGCGTACAGCCCTACCTACACACCTGGTAGTCACGGATCTGTTCCCAAATGGAGCCATGAAAAATGTTCAGGTTAACACTTTTTTTTCCAATAAACACATTTAACAAATTTGTATTTTAAATTTTAAATGTTCTGATGAAAATACATTTAGCAACTTTTTAAAATCCTCCTCTCGGAAGTTGGGAGTCTATGTCCCCGCCTTCCCATATTCATCCTGTCACCACCACGGTCCGACTGAAGCAGGATTCCCTTTCCCAAGGGGAAGAATCTGACTTTACCCATAAAATCCTTTTTTTCTATGCGTTTATTCACCTGCACCAGGTTGAAAACAGAAATTTTAGTGCTGGTCATGGAATGAAGCTTGGAGCAGAGGCTCGGTCCCCGCCGAGGGAGGGGACGCGGGGACGCCAGCCCTCTTTCCGGGCCGCCGCGGCTGACCCCGGGCTGCTGTCACTCATCCCGCCTCCCCGGCGGCCGCGACTCCCCCTCTCCCACCCGGGTGGTCCCAGAACTGGGCAACAATGCCCAGCTCTGTGTGGCCTCGTCCCGGGGCCAGAGAGGTTGGGAGGTGTCACGCCGAGGGCAGGCTTCGAATGAATGAGCCGACAGGAAAAGAAGGAAGGGAGAGCGAACGGCAGCGTCCCGCGAGGGAAAGTGGCAGAAGTCAAGTCTCCGGGAAGAGCGAGGCAGGGTCGCGGGCGCGACGCTCACCGCAGCCACCAGGGGGCGCGCGGAGCTCACGTGGTAGTCTCAGGTCTGAGCGCGAACGGAGCTAGGAAAGTTTTTCAGGTTAACATTTTTTTCCGCCAGGAGCTCTCAGGGAGCGGCTGAACTTCCTCTTAAAGAGATCCCATGTGGGTAACATCGAACTCCAAGGTCTGAGGAGCAGAAACGGATCAACCTGTGAAAGCCATCAGGCCGTTTAAAACTCTTCAGTGCCCCCATTTCACATGTCCCTCTGGTCACCTGGCTTCTCTGGTCTCTCCCATGGAGCCCCTTCCTTTCTGGGTATCCTGTTTTGCCTGCCTTGAGCCTTACCTCTCTCTTCTCTCCCATCTCCTCTTTGGGATTCTCATCTTCCCACTGTCGCTTAGGTTTCCCAGCCACAGACAGATATTCAGAAGGTGGCATGGTAACACTTCCCACCGTGCCTACAAAACTGCCATCTCAACCTTCAAATAGGAAACGTTCACATTTTGCTGAATTGCACATGTAAGTGGGGTTGTCAAATGAAACATGGGACACCCAGTGAAATTCGAATTTCAGATAAGTAACAAATAATGTTTTAATGTAAATATTAAATAAGAAATAATGCGTCAGTGTAAGAATGCAAAATATTGCATGTATTTTTGTTAACCTGGTAACTCTACATTACAAATGAAAAAAAAACTCAAGACAATTTTTTTGCATCAATGAAGTGAATATTATAGGTGAAAGAGTTTGTGTGCTGGGGAGGAAGATCTTCGTTATAAAATAATCATCCTAATTTTGAATTTCTCTCTGAAGGCAAAAACATGCTTAAAAAGGCAGTTTCGATCTGACATTTTCCACTATTTATTTGTTCTGGGGACATCATCACTCATTATGTGCTTGTAAATCTTGTGGCCGAAGTTAACAAGCCTGATGAATTACCTTTAAGACTTCACAAAACTGTCTTAAATAAATTAAACAATGTATTAGTTATCCATGCTTGAAATATTTTAAGACTCACATCTGTTTTTCTTTTCTTCCCTTCCCTATTTTCTTCATTCCTTCTCTCACTTCTTACTCTCACCTTCCCCCCACCTCAACGTAAGATGTTTTATGTAATACATTATAGGGCTCGAAATTTTGGCATTCGCACACTGTTTCCCAATGATGGACACATTTTTTTTTCATTTGGGAGGGCACCTTTTAGAAAAACACCTATTTTTTTTTTTTAGATTGTGCTACTCAAAGTCGATCATTTTCCAGTCACTGTAAAGCTGGAAATGAGGCATTTTCCAAAGTCTTTTCAGGGCAAACTCCAGCCTCCTCGATGGATGGGAATCATTCCCACAAAAGCCCCTTCCTTAAGCCAAGGCTGAAGGATGTGAAAAGCAGGCCCCAACTGATACTGCAGAGAGGAGCAAAATAAAGTCATAAACTCTTTCCCAACAGTGACACATGCTGTACCATGTTAAAGATGACAGTGAGTCTACTAGAAGAAGGTGTCAGATGACAACCTTTGGGTTTCTTTTTCAATTCTTTAGGTTCAGGAGATCATGAATGTCCTGAAAGCAACCAGCCAGGAGCTTCCAGACATAGCTGTCGCCAGAGAAAATAAAGATGATTTGGGACTTAGCTCAGCCCAGCGCAATGCACTGATGATCCATCTGCCCTGGGGAGCACTTAGCACGCAAAGTTTTCGTCAGCAGCACAAGCCTGAAAACTGTCACCAAATTCCACTGCCTTGGCCCTACAGTGCCTTGGTGAGGCATTCTTTCATTTAAGCTGATGAGGAGCTTAGCCAAAAAGGTAGAAAACAAACTTGAGAAAATATGTTAGTTAGAAAAATGACATAGCTAGACTAAAAACAGCTTCATGCTTTCTGAAACCTAAAGGCCTTCAGTTTCAGAGTGGTGGTTGAATCCACATCTGTCACACCTGAATTCTTGAGCAGCTCATCAGAGTCCAGGACAGTGCACCTCAGTGTCCTTATTTGCATGTGTGGGGGTTGGATGGAAACCACCATCTCCAAACCAACTTTCATATCAGTTGCCCTGTATTGGACGGGACACTAGACTTAAAGTAGACCTTACATGGTCAACTATCCTTGGCAAATAATAGGTTAAACTTCACCTTCCACATCATAAATCGTATGGTAATACTTTCTTTGTGACAGTGTAATGAGAATTTAGTAGATGACATCTAGATATAAAAATCTCAGCGCAGTTCCCGGCACTCAGCAAGATTCTTAAGATATTCAGAACAAACTCTGCTCAATTAAGGAGGAGGAAGCATGGGGGTGATGCTGGAGAAGGGGAGAGTGGCTTCCCCTCCATCTGGGCCTGCTGTGAGCTGGAAGGAACTCCCTGAGGAGGCCACAGACCTACATTTCCCGGGAGGGAGGCTTTGCAGAGCCGTCACCCCTGGAAACCAGCATCATGAGAAACTGCCAGGCTTCTTCACTGAGGGGCCCAGGCCTCTGCGCCCGGGGCGGCCCGGCAGCCCCTGCCCATCTCCTCCAAGGCCTTTTGTCAAGCCGGCTCTCCCAGCAGCCCCGCGCTGCATGGCGGTTTTGTGAAGGGCACAATCCAATGCTCTGAGGAGACCACCCAGCTTCCTCTCTCAGAGTCTCCCAGAGAACAAAACCGTCCCTCTGTGTGCCAGCGACCTCCCCCTCTGCCAGGCCCCCTCCTACTGTCCTCCTGCCTGCCAAGGGAGGTGGAGAGCCAGTCAGGCCCCACGCTCGGTGGGAACCCAGGGGATGGTGTGCTAATGAGCTGTCCAGAGCGTGGGGCCAAACGCTCCTCTGTGCCCGGCATGCTGCTGCCACCCTGTGGCAAAGGTCTTTCTCTAGGCGCCGGATGGCCCAGAGCTGCCCAGACCATACCACGTGGAAACACAGAGCATTTACGGGCAACTGATTACTGATCGGCTCAAGGAAGGCTATAGAGTCAGAAAATAGTTCAGAAGGTGCAAGGAAAAAGGAACTAGAAGTGATTTGTGGCAATGGCACTGATCCCTGAAGTGCGGTCCCCTAACCGGTATCAGCATCCCCTGGGAACTCACTAGAAATGCAAATTTTCAGGTCCCACCTTAAACCTACGGAATCAGAAACTCAGAAGGTAGAGCCCAGCAATCTTTTTTTGTTTAGTTTAGTTTTGTTTTGTTTTTAGAG